CATCACAACACCCAGTGTTCCAAGTATAAAAGCCTCTTGGTAGCGACGCCCTGCAGACATTCAGGAGTTAGCAATAGCATTGTTGATCATTGCTGTGGTTACTCTGTGTTTTGACAGAAAAGACTCCTGTTCTCCTCACCAAGGCAAGACATGGACTTCTATCAGTCATAAATCAAACTGAATTAACTTAGAGATCCTCACTATGGTTCAAAAGATTTTTAAACAAACTACAAAGTTATTGTGTCACGTAGAGTTTAGATCGGGCCAAAATGCATACACACACACGGCTATTAATATTATATTTGTTATTTATAACCAAGGTTGCACATAAAACTTTTGGTCTGGTTCTCAGGGGAGAACCTAGGGTTGTTGCTTGGTGCTCACTCATATTTTCCTTCACTCATTTAACACATTTATGGTGTCAGGTCTAGAGGTCGACCGATACATCGGCCGGCCGATATTTTTGGCCGATATTCATGTTTTTCCTTTGTATCGGTATCGGCCGATACGCGCCTGCTCTGGCCGATCCAGCAGCCATGCTCTGGGCTCACGTGMGCGCATCCATTACAGCTCCCTCCCCGGTGGAGAGCGGGTGGTGATTTGTGAGACAGAGCTCAAATAACAAGGTAAGTTTTCAACTTTTAACTTATTTTAACTGTCTGATTTRGCTGTATCTTAACTCTGTTTCAGACTATGAGGGGGAGAAAAGAGAACAGAGGTGTTTTAAGTTTCTATTTTGAGGAAGCGGTGATGTCGACGAGCGCTGTTCTTTTTTACTTTCACTTTCGACGTGCCACTGAAAATAGTGTGTCCACGTTTTTTAAATGGTTGTCGAGTTACTTACAGGGTGCATAGAAGGATTCCTTTCCATACTGAATTAGAAAAAAAAGCCTTCAGCATTTTCTCGCTGTCTCTTTCATAAAAGCACCGCTGCCCACAACCAGACGGCTCGTCTGATCTTGTTTGTCTGACCGCAGCAAGAGTCGCGACGCAGGTTTTTTTCGGTGCAAACTGTGATCTAAGTTTCTTGTTAATATCAGTGGGTTTAAATGCAGTTTTGCCCAGTGAGGGAAAACAAGCGCTTATCGAAGCAGAGCTGCAGTAAGCTAAGCTCTGTGTGTGTGTGTGTGTGTGTGGGGTGTGGTGGGGGAGTTTTTGTGTGCGCGAGTCCTCACAAACATAGCAAGACGTTTGTTTCCCTCTCCCTCTGTGTCCATTTTTAACGTTCTGTTTGTGTTTTTACATAATAGATGGGATAATAATAAAAACATTGCCATTTTATGTAGAAAAATAGTGTGTGTGTGTGTGTGTGTGTGTGTGTGTGTGTGTGTGTGTGTGTGTGTGTGGTGGGGGAGTTTTTGTGCGCGCGAGTCCTCACAAAGATAGCAAGACGTTTGCTTCCCTCTCCCTCTGTGTCCATTTTTAACGTTCTGTTTGTGTTTTTACATAATAAATGTGATAATAATAAAAACATTGCCATTTTATATAGAAAAAAAAATGTGTTTAAATATGTAAATCAAACAGTTTTATAAAGATTTACATTTTTTTATATTTTATTCATTAAGCACTAGATTAAATGTACTGAATTTATGTTTTTGTTTCTTTTCAAAGGAATGGCAG